TTTATGGCTAAAGTATTCTGTTCAACTTAAGCTCAGTTAAATCACTGTATCTTATTTGACGTTGAGTTTTTATATGGTCATTATCTATAAGATATTAAGCATAGTTTTTTATGATCCTACAAGTACATTTATAATACTTTTTTACGAGTGTAATTAGTGCTTTCGCTACGCTCTTCATTAGTAGCATTTTTAATTGTTCAAAATTGGCTTGGCTGGACATTGTCGTGGGGTAAATGACGCGAGGAGATGGCCAACTGGACGGATCTGCGGCATTAGCCCTCGTTTGAGTGGCACTCCAGCCGCCGAACGAAGAAGCCACTTGATTTACGTTTATGGCAAGTGCGGGCAAGCGTTAAGTTGTGAAAATGTGGAACTGCGAAAAGGCAGTCGCAAATAAAGTCAGCTGGCGATGACGACAGCCTGGAAAAGCGGAGTGAATGCTCTAATGGAAAATAAGGAATGGCAATGGCAATGGCAATGGGCAAATGCCAATGCGAAGTGCAGTCAATTGAAATGCAAGCTCCAGCACGAGGATGTGGAACTTCCTGACGAGGAGCAGTCCAAGTCCATGCGAAGACGAGGAGCGAGAAAAGAAAAACTACAGCCAGGCAAATTGGCTATGCAAACTCTGTGCAAAATGGCTGCTTCAGCGAGCAGCGACAAACAAGAGGGCAAATCGAGCTGCAATTGGGCTGAGGAAGAAGGGGCCGAATTGGCACGAGATCGCCCCCATTCAAGTGCGAGTATTGACAACATTGTCAAAGGGGCGGAAACGAGGGCCAGGCAGCGAACATTTCTTTTGGTCGAATTGAAAACTGAGCTGTGTAGTCGCCGCCTGTAGTTGCACTTTAGATTTATTGATTGTCTCAGTGCGTTGCTGTCCTTGGCGAGTCCGAATGTGTCCTGCAGTCCTTCGCAGTCCTGGCTTATTGCTGTTGAAAAACTTGCACAAGCACCGACAACAATGCTGATGATGACAGCAGCCACTACCAACTCTTTCCACATTTTCCGTTGGCCCAGTTCAGTTACACGTCCTCGAACAAAACGCGCTTTTTTCACTGCAGAGCAAATATATGTTTTAAATCGCATTTAAAGGATTTCGCCGATTAATCCGATAAGGCACTAATTTACAATTTAGAATTTTAATTATACCTTTTATTAATAACCATATGCGGGCAGGACTGTTTACCTTACACAAATTAAAGTTTTGAAAAACGCACAAAGACTCTTGCATTATAGTTCATTATTATCCTATTTATTTCTGTTTTTTAAAGTGTTGTCGTCACACACACATTTTGTTTTTCGCACTTTTGCGAGCTTGACTCAACTTTTGTTCTGCGGCCTTTTTCCCCAGCTCGAACTTTTTGCAGTGCAATGCGGATTGAAATTCTTTTGTGTTTACAGCGGAATTTCTTCTTTATTTTCCTTCATTACATATTATTTGCGATTGCTGGCAGCTATTGGTAGCCACAAGCCCACGGGGCGGATGATTTACCTTTAAATCATCGCGCATACGCCACGTGGACAGAGGAATTTAATATTTTTAATTACGCTCATTTCAGCCTGCTTTTCCATGTTTACATTTCAATAAATTTCCACTCGGTCTGCCGTCAACCCTTTCATCATTTTTCTCCTTTTAGCTCTGCGTTGCTTTTTTTCATCCTTTTTTCCAAGGCACTTGTCATCATCAACACTTTTAGCTGTTGCTTTTGCTCAAGCTCCTGCCCGCCTAACGAATTTGGTGGCGCATAATGAGTTTTTGTTTCCGTCAGCTTAAGTTCGCCAATGAAGAGGATGAAGGGCTGAAGCGGGGGCAACAACAATTGCCATTGCCATTTAATTAAAAATTGCAGAATAATTATTTTTCCTTTTCGCCTCGTTCCTTGTTTTCCTTACTCTCTCTCTCTGGTTTTGCACGCTTCTTCTTCGGGGAGCGCGTGGGAAAACTTTTAAATAAACAAAGGCGCCCTCTGCAATTTGAAAATCTGCAAATTAGCACAAATGCAGCTTGTGGGCGGATTGAGGGGGCATTGAGGGATTGAAAGTCTGCAGGAGCAGGAAGCTCCAAAGGTGCATGGCACTGGGAAATGGGTTAAGGGGAAAAGGAAAGTGGAAAATGGAAGTAGGAAAGGGATGAAGGGAAGTGCAGCTACAAAGTGAAGTTTTCAATTACATTAAATCCGCTGCATAAAGTTATCGTCACGCACAGTTGACAATTTATTTGTTTGCCCACTAGTTTCCAGCCTGGCCAACACGTTCTTGGCCCGTTCTTGGCACAAATGTCAGTTTAAGAGCTTTGTTCCAATGCGTTAATAAAATATTCTTCCCTTTTTCCCCGCCCCTCGGCTCAACATCATTATCGCAGTGTGCAAAACTTTGGGCCACTATTTTGCTACAGGTGTTTCCTGACTGACGTGCACACACGTGGCGTATGCGCAACTTTTGAGCCTACCGAGAAAAGTTTTTCGGCCAACTTTGGCTTTAATGCCACCAAACGAAACGAAACTCGTTCCTTTGGAACACTAAATTCCACTGTGGAGGTGAGAGACTGCTCCGCGTGAAGCGCTGACAAATGCTGTCAATATATCAGCCTTAAACCGTAAATGATGGTACCATTTATAATGGTGCTGTAAGAGTAGCTACAACAAAGCTATGCCGATGCAACTGCAACATACAGTGTTAAAAATACTTATGCTTCAATAAGGATCTATTCAATAAATATTATTTTCTAATGAGAACGCAAGTAATCACACCCACATCTATTGTTTTCAATTGATATATTCCTTGAAATTACGTGCGTTTCCCTTGCCAGATCATATAAGCAAGACTTATACAGTCCAAGCATGAAATGCACAAATGGCAGTGAGGAACTTCCCCACCCGGTTTCTCCCAGTGCACTTTGCGTGCTGCCTGTGCGGCAAGCAATAAGTTGAAAGCCGAGACAGCCCGGCTGGCAGCAGCGTCAGCATTCAAGAATCCAGCTTAAGTAGCTGTTGGTGGTTCTACTCATCTGCTCGGATCCTCCGGTGGCGCACTCCTGCCCATCTCAGCCTGCCACTTGATGTATATTTCGGCAACATTATAACCGGCGCTTAATACTTTATGCTTATTTTGTTGCCACAACCCCGGTTTTCGAGATGGCCGAGTGGTGGGTGGTTGGGGAGAGCCTAGGAAATTTATATTCCGCTTTGGCAGCAGGATAAAGTTGTCTAGCTCAGCCTGTTTCTGGTGCAACTTCGCCTGCGGCTTATGATAAACTGGGCTGCACTTAAGCTGCCTCTGCATACGAGGCCAGCTATCCAGATATTTGGCTGTGTGCTCGTATTTACAGCTGGCTCCTCTTCCCGGCAATTCAATTTGCCTGCCTGCATATGAGCGTAAGCAGCTTAAAATCTTAAATAAATTTCGTTTGGGCCCAGCTTCTTTCTCCAGATGCACATACATACTCGGATATCAAGTACGTAAAGCATTTTTTATAAATTGCTAGTCGATTTCTTAACCGGCTACTGCAATTCTCCCAGAGGGAAGCAGCTTATCGTGACCAGCTGATGTCGGGCACAGATATTCGCCGCACAAGGATGCATGCACTGTGCGAAATGGAATCAAAACCACATAATGCTTCGTTGCCAAGGATTTTCTCCAAAGTGTATCGCTTAACAGCAAAGACCAACATAAATGACCACTTCGGATGCTCCGAAGCTATTGGCATTTTCTCAGCGTGTAGAATTATGCATTTCCCAGGAGCGTTGAATGCGGATTGAGGTGAGCTACAAGCAGTGGCAGTAACAACGGGACAAAAGCTTTTCATTATGCACGCCACTCGCCGGCGAACAACACGAAAAGCGACTCAAAAGGGCAAAGCTGCTGGGGCAATCCGTTCCCCGCTTTCCCCTCCTGTCAAGTGCACTTTTTCGAATGCCTTTCATCAAAACACTTAATTTGCATAATTTTTGTGAAGAGAGTTGGGCGGGCAGTAAGTTTGAGATGATTTAATTCCGGCAGCTTTAAGGGAAAGTAAAACGCTTTCCAAGCACCAGAATCCAGAAAATGTGCCAGAACATTTTCGCCACCAGGTGGAAGAATCTCTTTTGTGCGGTGCGGTAATCTAATACTTTTACTTCATTTAACGTTATGAAATTTCGTGCACTTTGCATATTTCACATAAATGCCTTAGGAAAATGGAACCCGGGGCGCAGAATTGCCGACGGAGGCAGCCTCAGACAAAAACATTTTTTGCCGGACAGAAAAGGCGGAATGCATTTTTCAGTAAATCAGCCTAATGCACTCAATGACCCCACCATCAAGCCTGAAAATATGGCCAAAAGCAACAAGCCGGGCTAAAGCGATAGAAAGTATCAAAGAAAAGGCGAGTCAAAGTCAGAGGATGTTGGGTCGTAAATTTAATCTGGCACACGATAGTTGAGGTAACTCGGTAAAGTTAATGCTCCTTAAGCTCCGACAAAGGCTACAAGTCAAGTTCAGGGCATTCAATGGGAAAATTTGACTAGTGATGGCTGAAAGGGTTAAAACTAATTAGGACTACAAAGAACGCAAAGTTGTGCACAGTTTTAGCCGCAGAAGCTGATTGAATAGATTGCATTTCAGGCAATGTAACTTAAATAAATTGCCGTTTTACCTACTATAGTGCAAATGCTAATATAATTCACTCTTTTTTTATATACATATATGTAATTGCAAATTGCTTTCACGAAAATATATTTATTACATAATGTAAGTATTATTCGAAGAAAATTGTACATAATTAAATTGCTCCTCACTAAAATTCAAAAAACTTGTGACTTAATCTCATTTAATTTGGTGTGACAGAAAAGATTTATTTTATTGATTTTGCTAGCAGAAAAGACTTGGATACTTCTTAGTTACCCTACCGTGGACTTTTGACATTGCACCAGACTCCACCTTTGGCAGTCATTTAGTTAAATCCATTTGGCCCATACCCCGATAATGTCTAACCCTGGTCCTTCTTCCACTCATTGCAGCTGAGCGAGGACATTGGCTACGTGCTGTACTCGGCACTGGGCTCCTTCTACATACCCAGCTGCATCATGGTCTTTGTGTACATACGAATTTACTTTGCCGCCAAGGCGCGGGCGAGGAGAGGCATTAAAAAGCATCCCCGCAAAACGAACAACGAACAGGTGAGTGGAAGGGGTGATTATTTATGAATTTGACCCGTCAAAATGGGAACATATTTACACACCTTTGCCTAATGGACTCCACACCCCGGGGGTCACAGGATCTCACTTTGGAGCCATTATTGCGGTTGGCCGCAAAATGTGTCAGGCATGGAAATGGGATTTTTACGATTCAATGGACAAATGTAATTCTTCTAGCCGACTGTGGCATATGCGGCGTATGTGTAATATTCGCACACACCTTTCCGCTTCCCCCAAAAAGTAATTGTGCATTACCCCAGGATGCTGCAAATTGAGCACACATGCCTCGCTTCAATTTCCCATCAACAACTTGTGGGCTACGTGTAGTACTTACCTACACTTTCCCTGCCCTCGGCCATCGGGAATTGCAACTTGCCAACGGTGCAATTTTGGCCGCTGCAGCAGTTGCAGTTGCAGTTGGCCACGTTAAGGCGAACGGCCATTATGAAGGGCCATTCAATCCAATGGCATTTACCGAGGCCATGCCCGCTCCTAACGGTCTTTGTTGGAAAATTATCGCTGAAAATTTAATCGAAACTCCACCCCAAATCCACTGATTGAGTGAAAAGTCTCTAATGATCGTCAATTACGTGGCACAACGACAGCCAATGCAGTGCAATTTGCATTTTCAATTAACTATATGCGCAATGCACACTGACAGAAAAAATGGATGTCAGGTGGAATACATTCGCCACTAGACAGTGCCGGCAATATCAGCAACACTTCTCGACCATTTTGTGCAAACAAATGCAGAGCAGCGGCCCAAACGAGCGATTAACAAACAGGAAAGGGGCTGCATTTTCCGGGGCGATGAGGGGGATGGGTGGAAAAACAAGCAGAGACAGCGGCAGCAGAGGAAAAACAGAAATCAGGGAAAACAGAGGGGGATTCCCACATACGAGTATGCTGACAACGCGATTTGTCTCACTGATTCTGCACCTAGTTGGGGGATATGATCATTTGACACAAAAAAAAATGCCTTAAAGCTTATTATATATGTGCTTAATTCAGATAGAACATTTTAATACCATAGCAAAATACTTATTTTAATGGTATTATAAAACTAAATGTTTAAAATGCTGTTTTTTGTAATCTCAAGTGCATTTGCACGGAAGCACCATTTATAAAATACATTAAGAATAATCATATTATAGCTAACCTGATATAATAATTACATTGCATTAATTATTAGATTAGTCTGCTTAAAATTCAAGGGTATCCGCCCAGTCGATCCGCGACCCCCTCCCATTTTATTTTCATTTTCGTTGGGGCGCCCCGTGTCTCTGTTAATTGCCCCGGGTAATTGTTGCTGCCTCTCGAGCATTGAATATGCACATTCCCTCACCCCCTTCCTTTGGGCCACGTTCCAGCATCCCCATCCCCATCCCCATCGAAAAGCAAAAGCCCTCGCTCCATGTTTGTGTAATCCGCGCGCTCGGACGCGTTTGCCTGCCGCCTGTTGGCTTAAACAGGATTTTCGAAATGGAAAACTTCTGTAGCAAGTGTTGGGCCATCTGTCCCTGTTCTCGACTGCACTTGTGCGGATCTGCAACCTAATTTGCAATGCCCGAGCATGTGAGACTGTTAATCACACAGAACCACTTTGAGAACTATGAGCCGTGCCAGCAACTACAGCTCTGGCGAACTAAAAATATTTTCTCTTATTTCTTATTTATATCCCTAAATCAATCTAACGTAGGAGGAGTGGAAGCAATAGTACAGATACTCGAACCTAGTATTGCAGATATTTTTACAGCTTTTTAAGTTGTAAAAGTAATATCATTTACAGAGTAAATTGGAAGTTTTACAAGGAGTACTTGTACTCGAGTTCTTACCATCTTAGCAAGATTATGCTGACAAAACAGTTCAGCATCCATGTTTGGAATGCCTTGTAATATTTAAACTTTATAACCGAGATTTCCCATAGGATCTATGGGTAGGACTGTGTCCCCAAAGTTTTCTGTTGCACCTCGTGACCTATTTGCGTATTAATGTTGCTTTTCCATTTGCTGCAGGTAACGAGCTTCACCACCGCCAAGAAAGGAACAATACCGATGCCCTCCTCGAGCGGCGTGTCCGCTCTGCAACTGCATCAGCAGCGCCAAATAGCCACCATCGAGACACCACCGAACAGCGCCAGCCTGCCGATGCAGATACCCACGGTGACCATGGACCTGGCCTCCGACATATCCACCTCGGAGGCGGGGGAACTGGAGGCGGTGGCCGCCCAAACGGTGCTTGCCTATGCAAATCCCAATGGGTCTGGCACGAATTCGGTCACCGTGGTGAGCAGCGGGAACGGGGGCACCGGGGCGTCCGGTGCTCCGCCCACCTCGCCCAAGGAGACGCTCCAGGTCAGCACGATAGCCACCGGTCGGGTGGGTCTCAATGTCCCCGTGCCGCCGTCCATGGGCAGCAATAATTCCGTCAATGCGTTGAACAACAACAACGGCACCGTGGCCATGGATGGAGGCGCCTCCTCCGCCGCCGGCGGAAATGGGAGTGCGGGAGCGGGAGCGGGAGCGACGCCTGGTGGACTGCAGCAGACGGGCGGCAATGAGCTGCGCGTCTCTCCGATCGCCGGACGGTGTCGAGCCCTATCCGTGGGCGTGGACACGGACATGGTGAGTGAATTCGATCCATCCAGCAGCGATTCGGGCGTGGTCAGTCGCTGTGCCGTGGTCAAGCCGCTCAAGTTTCGCCTTTGCCAGCCGATCTTCGGGCGCAAGTCGAGTAACCAGCAGCGGCGCAACGAGGCCAAATCGGCGGCCAAGAACCAACAGCCCAGTGCAGCGGCCAGCAAAAATCAGCAGCAACAGCAGCAGCAGCAGCAGCAGGTGGTGAAGGCGGAACTGGAGCCGGCCATACCGAAGACACCGAAGCCCAGGGATCCGGAGAAGGAGAAGCGTCGCATTGCGCGGAAGAAGGAGAAGCGGGCCACCCTAATCCTGGGCCTGATCATGGGCAGCTTCATCGCCTGCTGGCTGCCATTCTTCTTCCTGTACATCCTGGTGCCGGCATGTAGCAGCCATTGCAACATACCGGAATCGGCGTTCGCCGTCGCCTTCTGGCTGGGCTACATGAACTCGGCGCTCAATCCGGCCATCTATACCATCTTCAACAAGGACTTCCGACGCGCCTTCCGGCGCATCCTGTTCAAGTGATGTTTGGCCTATGTGTGCTGTTACAGGTGCGTTTACGCCAGCATCGAGAAGGCAACCGAACGTGCCATGGGCAGCACACCGATGGGCTATGGTCATGGCATGTATCAGCACTACAGGCGTTAGATTTGCTTCGTTTTGGCAGTGCCGTAGGTCCCTGGAAACCGATCCCAATCCCATTCCCACTCCCATTCCCTCTCCCAGAACTGCAAAGCTATCGACTTTCGATGTTACCGAAATTACCCACTATTCATTTACCCATTTAATGCCTCAGCTCATTACGGTTTAAATAGTTTTCAGTAAAACAAAAACATGCTGAGTTGCCAATTAACCCCAAAGGTTTTTAGAAACACATTTTTACGAATTTCAAAAGCAGTTACAATAATCCTTGCTAGTTGCTACAGCTATCGATAATATCGAGTAACCGAATAATCCAAAGTTCTGCAGTTCTATCAGCCCCCATATGCTAAGTCCTTTCCAATCTTTCTTTGAATTTTTTGTTTGAATAAAAAAAGTAACGAACATTGTAGCTCATTTCAAAAGCAATGAACGGCTGTGAATTTGATGGAATCTCTCAATTTCAATTTACGCATTTTGGTTCCGTTTCGTTTGGTTTCTCGAGCACCCTTGAACCCAGAGACCCCAATCCCGAAGGCCCAGCACACCTAGAACCCCCACAACACCCAGAACTCCCAGACCAACCGAACGAACTCACCACAGCCCACACACTTTTCACACTCGACGAGCTCATAGAAATGCATGAGCTGAGCAAACAAGAATTTGAACTGGGCAAACAGCCATTATGCTCCCTGAATGGATGTGTCCGCCAGCGACGTCTATGGCCATTCAACTTGAAATAATTTTGCAAATTTCCATTTGCGGCTGCATTGCCAATGCCACATATCAGTGCAGTCTGCAAATGCTTCGAGAGTCGGGTTCAGGTAGTCCTAGAACCCCAAAGGGTCACCAGATCCCCAATGTGGCACGCTGGCAATCCAAATGGAGGTCAACAAGTGTGTACGTAGTCGAGCGATGGCAACAAATTAATTTAATTCCTTTTTAATATTTTGCCAAGCGCTTATCCGCCGCTCCGATGACGAGAATCTAGATGACGAGGAGTAGGGCTGCATTTGGCCGGGGGCCAAATCAATAATTCCCTGCGCACACAAATGTAACTAAAATCCAGCACAACGGCCGCACAATTTGGTGTAACAAAGTGAGCACACACAGCAATGGAAATAGAAACAAAAACTGCACCAGCGACAGATTCCACAAGGCAGTCGCCGTTTTATTCATTCACCCAAAGATGTTTCACTCAGCGACACAGAAAGTGGGAGCCCGAAAAAATAAACCAAATGTGTGGGAACCAATGCCTAATGGGCACAGACAGATGCAAATGCGAATGGTTGGCTTCTACACAAAAAAAAAGCAGTACATTGTTTGCTTTAAATTCAATGCGGTACTGGAGCAAAATAATTATAAAACATGATTGCTTTGAAACCCGCTAATTGAGTAAATATTTAGGAAATTCGAACATGTTTTTAAACCTCAGAAACCATTTAACTGACCTGCCGCAATATTGGAAACACTAGAATGCTGTTTTGGAACTCTGAACATTTTCCTTTCTGTGCACCTCATTCCATTGCACCATTTTCCCCACCATTTCCCACTTTAGTTGCTGGCTATGCATCAGCAAATGCATGCGCCCGGCCGAGTGGAATAGACAGCCCGTCACCCAGTCAGTCAGTCAGTCCGTCCGTCATTCAACCATTCAGTCAGTCGAACGGACAGACAGTCGTCACTGGAACGCTACAATGACACCGAGTTAGACGGGAAGATGGTGACAGAGGAGCAGAGCATCCAGGATGGGGGCGGACCGACAGACTCTGTTTTTGGCATGTGGCCCAGAATGGCTCTCCATTTCGTTTGGTCTTGTTGGTCGTGTTTTGCTGGGCAAAGCCAAAAAATGGCAAGGAAATACCATATATAGTATGTGGTACGGCCGAAAGAATCCACACAAAAACACGGAGGAGCGCCAGGCTGACAGTCTATGCATAAATTTTACGTACAATTTATTTCACTTCCTGTGTGTTGGCCTGTTCCTCAGCTTTTTCGACACTTTGTGGCAAGATGCAACAATACCTGCGAGGCACGAGTACCGTCTAGTTATCGGCTAGATTGTAGTCAGCATAGGGCCCACTTCTATCTCCAATAAACCATCTGAAATCACCTTGTTCTCTGTGCCGCCCACAAATTTATGGCAGCTCTTAGCAGCGCTCGAACTTTCAACACATGTCGGCATAGTAGAAGATTGATCTGATTTATAGCTCTGGGCAATAGCCTAATGCTTGCGGTTGCCGAAGACCTCTTAAAATGGTTTGAGAACGCATAAATAATGCGACCGAGATCGGCAATGAATGCGTCTGTGCCGCCAAGTGTTTCATTTGAATAAATGGAAAATGGAAAATGTAAATCGACCAGAGAACTTTGATGGTGTTGAAAGACAAACAGCAAAGGCTTTTGGTGCCTGCATTTTTTATGGATCACACAGCATGCTGCTGAACGTTTTGGCATTGTCAGCAATGTGTGTGTACAACAACTGCACTCAAATGACAATTTGAACAACGACAGAAAGTCCAACAATAACACCTACAACAACAAGCTAAATGGCAGGACGAAAAAAAGGACCGTCGTGCACAAAGCGAAATCGAAAACAATTGAAATCGACAGCAAGGAAAAACCCATGTGGCGGTGTTGCAAGAAACATGGTGCAGCGATGGCGGTGCAGCAGGTGGTGCAGAAGGCACATTAAAATGCGCGACTACACGGAAAAATCCTAAAAAAAAAGCATAGCGACTTTGTAGTAAACGTATCCATAATATCTATACAAAATCGATCTATCTTACCAATTCAGATTATCCTCAAACTGCTGGAGGCATTGGGCAAATGCACACCGAGTTAGCTGTAGCTATTTTCATTTATTTTCCGCGACATTCTTAGCTATGATTTGGTTAGACCTCCGCGTTGTTTCCAGTGTAAGCGCACATACGTCCCATACACACGCAGCACTTAACTGCACTTAGGTGCGACAGCCAGATGAGTGTCGAACGGCATTCCACGGATGGCATTGTTTTGCCAGGCACACTGAAAGTCATTTTCACTTAAAGCGTAAAAAGCTGGCAGGCATTTTAGACCACCCTGCGTATACGCAACGCCATCCATTGTTTTCCCTTTTTTGGGCAAACCGCTTTCGCCTGCTTTGCTAACGACTGAGGAGCATTACTAAAATTGCAATTAACGTCACAATTAGCAAACACCATAAATTAAATGCTTGACAATTGAAGAATTTAACACAACAAAGTAGCCAATACAAAAAACAAACAAGGAGCAGAGAAAAAATGGGATGAAAAACATTTTGAATTATTCAGAGCTATTTAAATTAATTTCCGTAATTGAATTATGAGATTCGGAATGCTAATTTTTTGCTTTGTTTGCCTTAATTGTTTTCAGTCAACATGGGAGTTGTCCAAAAGCGAGTAAATAACACAATTAAGCTTTAAACATTTACAATAATGACATAAATACATTTTAGATTACTGTAGTATTATTGTCGCTTATTTTTTGTTTTGTACATTTCAATTCCGGACGCCAGAGGCCGCAAACTCTCTCGTGAAATTTAATTATTTATTGCACTAAATGCGTAATCTAGAATTTGCATTTCTGTCAACATCTATTTTGGCGCCAAGCAATATATGCAATAAGCCAATTTAATGCCTGATTAACTTGGCAAATTGCAGAGGTATTTATAGAAAATCGAATTGACAGGGAAACTCACTTCAAATGCATTTTTGTTTGCGGTTGCACAATTTGCAAACTATTTCGCTACTTTTGGCAAATATTTGGCTGCATTTTTTTCTGCGACTTACTATCGCTCATGCAGACAAAAGTTTATTTATGCGTAACTATTGCCCAGACGCGCCACTCATAATCGGAGGTTTTTTCAAAGCTAGCAAACAAATTACACTATAAAACAAGTGCATAAAAGCATCAAAGCCATCAATAAAAACCCACCCACACGAAAACCACGTGAAAAGTGCACACACAGAGAACTGCATTGTTGCCGGAATCGCATGAACGCATTTGTGGCGCCGGAATTTTTGGAGGATCTGGTCTACGATACGATAGTCGTGTGTACTTTTGGAGCAATTATCATGGCTATTAGGCGACTGGAGCATGAATCATGGAAATGACGCTCGCTGGCCTGCATATTAATTAGTGGAGTATAAAAGCCATAAATGTAAAACTCATAACGACAAATGTTTGGACCATAAATATGCACTTAGGTATTTATGCGCATTGACAGCATGAATATTTATGAGCCAGTGACGCCGGCGACGGCGGACATTAAAATGCGCCCCCGTTGATTAATTGGAAAAGTTAAGTTGGTTATGCTGGTTCGCTTCGGTTCAACGGGTCGTATGCTTGATGCTTTTCACCGCCCCCTTTGCAGGTCTGAAAATGCCGCCCAAAACTAAGCAAATCCAATGCCTGTGTTCAGGTTTAGAGAGGAGAAGGCAAAGGAATTCATATGTTTGCCATTAAGATAAGCCATGCGACCATGTAAGTTAAAGTTTTTGGCTTGTCTTTCAAAACCAAAAAAAATACAATGACTGAAATGTTAAATGAAATTATTTCATTGCAAAAACCAAACAAATCGCAAGTAACTTAAACGTATTTCAATATTTAAACTTACACTTTTTGCTAATTGTAAACTAGACAGAAATATTTATATACATATAAATATTAATTAAAAACAGATATATATATATATTAAAGTTGAATTTTGAAATTAGATAAACGCAACCGGCGGCTATTCGAATAGTTCAGATATATTTAGCATAATTTATAGTTGCCGATAAATGGAAACGTTTACTCATTTAATTGTATCGTACGGCATATGCATAGCAAAATTTTAACTCATATTCTCATACGTGTCTGTTCCACTAGTTGTGTGTAGATCAAATATGAGCAACATAAAATACCACCAGATTACGATACAACAAACCAAAACGATACTTCACGGAACCGAAAACACGTGTACAACAATCTGTGAGTATGCAAATGTATATCAAATCAAGCGGTTAAAAATCAAATTTCGCAAAACGGACGAAATGAATGAACATAAATTAAAACTACCTACATTTTAAGCGGAAGTCTTCCACTACAATTACGCTCTACCCACGTGCATTCTATTTGTATTTGTTCCCTCGTTTTACCGACTTCAACTTCTGTTTCCGGGCAGACTATGTAACTAAATGTGTGTATATCGAATAGGTGTATGTATTTGAAAAGGTTTCTTCCCCAAACAAAAACATAACAAACTAAGCAACATCAGAAACATGAAACTAGAAAAAATACAAATGATGTGTAAAGCAAATAGAAAGCGTAAGCCATAAATTTACATTAATAGAAGAATGCTGCACAAATTTGCATGTTAGTTTCGCTAGCCATGTAAGTTACGATTAATAAACTGTAGTTAACAAAGGGTAAAATACACAAAAATGTGCTACGAGTAAGTAGAGACCATGTTTAGTACCAGACATGGTCGTTGTTGCTTTTATTTTCATCTGTTATAAAGGAGCGAGTTCTCGTTGCGTTATTTATACATTTTTGTAGGTCCACATAGCTAACAACGAAGTAACATGGTGCTATGAGCTACGATTCTCCTCGGTTCATCGTGCATCTCATCTCGTATCCACTCAGGGTGGTCAAAACGTTAAAATCTGAGCCCCTTTTAACGTCTTGGTTGCATGTAGAGCACCACCACAAGAAACTGAAGCCCAAAAAACATTATATGCCATTCACACTGACACTCACACTCGCCCACAAAAGAGAACTCAAATCAAAATTGAAAGTTAGTTAAGGGAATTAAGAGCATTTCAAACCTACTTAGCTGCTAAGCATTGTAAATACCTATTACTTATGCCGTGTTATAGTTCATACATACTAAATATAATACGATTACGATAATGAAATGTAAATTGAGCAACACAAAATTGCAAATTGAAGCCACCAAAGAATTGAATTTTTGCATGTAAGTCGAACAACAAGTAAACTAAAAAGTATTTAATTAAACCAAAGCTAAGACTAAGTGTAGACAAAGTAAAAACCAAACATCTGAGACCCCTTTCTTACCCCCAAAATAACAAACAGCAACAATAGTCGAAAACTTTTAGCATTTAGGCAATCATATATCATAGTTCAACTTAACTAAAGAAATGGCAATTCCTCCCAAAAACTGTGTGTACATTTTCTGAGAATAGCCAAACGACAAAACACCAAGAACTAAGACGCATTTAAAACTTTAAGTTTCGTTGTTTTTCTAACACCACACCAGTTGAGTTTGAGCAAACGTAACATTTACCCATTGTATGGGGCACGTTGTTTTCCTAAGATCTTGTAGCCTAAGTGAAACTTATAATATAGAGCATATACGATACATGATAACTACGAGAACTAAATTAAAACTATTAGCTAAGCGAATACATATGTCCAGTAGAAAGGACAATAAAGATTTAATTGAAATTATACAGTACGATTACAATTACCACTAAACGGCCGACGAGGAATATCTCAAGAGGCTCCAACTCGAACTCATCAAAACCAAGCTAAAGCTAACATACAAAATACTAAAAAGAAACCTTTTAAAACTTACTCTCGTTAAGCGAATCAGAAAAGCAGTGCAGAAAGGGAGAGGCAGAAATCATAAATGAATAATAAAAACCGAAAGTATTCTTAAATTCTTTAAATGCATTGGTCGAATTATTTGTTGTCACCGTGCACTCCGCATGCCGACAAATACTTGGAATCCCATTGGCAAGTGGAAAGCGAAAGTCACATCGTAATGAA